GTATATATACCTTAATTAATATGAACCCTGTATATTTGTAGTTAGTTAGTTAGATTGTTCCTAAGGAAAAGCTTTTTTTTTTTTAATATCATAAATCAGGCGGTTTTATAATATTTTTATTTTGAAATATCAAAATATTATGCAGCAAAACAGGCGCAGTAAAACAAAGTGGCACGAATTTCCCAACTTATAGCGTACACACATATATACAAATGCATATATGTATGTATGTAATAAGAAAATATTATTTTATATACAGAAATAGTTCAAATACAAATCACATTATTTTTGTACTTTTACGTGACTTCCCAAAAAATCGATTGACAGCAGAAGAGTATGCATTCAGAAAGTATACGAAAAGTTTATTTAGAATGTATGAGTATATGTATGTATCTACGAGTATGTAAGTATATTTCTTTTCTAGTGCTTAATAGTGCGATACAACTTTTTTTGAACCACCCATTATGTTTATATAATATACATAGGTATGTATCTATCCATGAAGTGAGCGACACTTTCTTGTATATTTATAATATATGTAGGTATGTATTTATAATTGTCATGCCCCCAAAAACACCTTACATAATGTCGATGTTAAAGTCATATACCTATTTGTACACACAGTGGTGCCAAAAAGTAAATAAACTTATTTGATTTTAAAATTAGGTGAATACATTAAAAACTATGTTAGTGTGGTATCATTGATAGAAATATTGGTTCGGTAATATTTACTTAAAAACAAGGTATAAATAACGCGCAGAAATGAATGTAATGCACCTTGTATATAGCACTTTAAAAGCTTGTCGATTTTATAAGTACTAAAAACCAATTTCTTAAGGGCACACCTAGTGTGAAATTTCAATTTTTTTCTACATATTTCAAAAATATACTAAAATTTTATATGAATATTTCAAATATTTTATATTAGTCAGTGTAGTCAATAATTTTATCTTTAAACGTGTTTTTCTCAAAACTCGAATAAAAATCATCCGATCGCTTTGATTTTTTTTTTTTTTTGCTCTTTACAACGACTCTTCAGTTTTTCGATTGTATCAAAAATGTCATTTAGCGGGTCAAATATCATTTAATTTTTAAGCAAAACTCGACATTTTTTACAGTCAGGCTCTCACGAGTATACAAAGTGTGCGCCTATAGAGAAAAACAGTTCGAGTGATAAAATATAATTTTTAAGTAACAAAAATACAGATAGAACCATGTAATAATTTGCATTCTAAAAATGGTTTACTCAGAGTGAGTGTACAATAAATACGCAAATACATTTTTTAAGTACTCAAAACCGACTACTTAATCGGAAAAACAGTTCCGATTGTTAAAAAATAAAAATTCGTAAGAAATAATAAAAAACGTTATATAATTTAAGTTCCATAAGTATTTTGAATGTATCTTAAATCACATTTGTATATATTGCTTTATAATAAATTATTATTTATTCAAAAACCGCTAATCTGAGGACGATATGTAAATTATCTAGGTGTTTTTTCTTTTTTTGATAATAAATTAAGAAAATGCTATTTAAAAATTAAAAGTATTTAAATTCTCTTGATTTGGAAAACTATCTACACATATTGTCAAAGACATCACAAATTTATTTAGATCATATAATATCACAAATCAAAATCTTATATAATATATCCAAATAACTTATTCTACGGTAAACCTTTCTAACAATTTTTCGGAGCGCCATTGTAACGTTATAGGTTTAAAATAATAAAAATACTTCAAAACAAAAAAAAAATAAATTCTTAAATTCAGTTTTCAGTTCCACTTTTCATTCAATATTATTATGCTACAAATTTCCGAAAATCTTTCCATATATACATTTGTATATATTACATACATACGTTTTTGCATGTACTGTCGTTTTTTTCAAATTTATCAACAAATACGAAAATAGAACAAATGACGGAAAAGCGAATACATTTCTGCAGCCGGTTACCACACGAAAGTACGAGTATTTTCACCGGCTTTTTATTTAATTTCACGGTGTTCGTATATACTACAGCGAGTATATTAGAACTAAAAGAAAAAAGAAATGCAAACAATTTAATGTGTTTTATAAACATTTATAAATTTATGTGCGCCCGTTTAAATACATTTCGTAAAGTGATTTGTTGTACTCATTGGCAGTTTATATTTAAAGAACAAATTGTGCATAGATAAAGACTAATTTCAACCAAGAAGCCTTTGCTTATAATTACTATTGCAACCTTGTAGCTTTTATTGCGTACGTATTGCATCGCGTGCCCTTCAGTATACGGAAAGCGTGGATCGAGGCCGCCTTGGTGGAACAAAGAGCTCTGATCCCGTAGGCGTAGTGTTAAGGAGCTATTCAAACTGGCGAAGATGGCCAATAAAGAACACTCTTGGAGGGAATATAAAGATGTACATTAAGAAGTATAAAAATGGCTCCCGCTTCTGCGGGAAGTTAGAAAAGAAGACCGAGATAGCCAGGCTTAAGAATATACTATTTAAGCACCCGACTACCACTAGGCTACTACGCAAAAAATGGGGAGAGTGGACTGGTTACAGTAAGGAATTACTGGTAGACTTGGTCAACACGCATTTTCCAAGATGTACGGACGCTATAAATCTCCTACTTGTTGGAAGTAGCGTAGAGTATGTCCCAATCGACATAATAACGAAGCACAAAATAATTTGGCCAATCAACGGCTTCGAACAGTTTAAATTCCCTGGTATGGACGGTATTTTTTCAGCCATTATGCAGAATGTATCATACCTGATCAAAGAGAGAGGCAAGGGTCGTATTCATACCGAAAGCGGGCAAAGGCGTCCCCCTTTATTAAGTATGTGAGACTGCTATTAGGTTGAGCTAAGCAAGAACACAAACATATGGCATTAGTCCAATGATTTGGAGCGAACCAAAAGATCAAGTAAGTGTTTAGTATTTTGGTTTCACTCAAACAAAAGGCATTACAAACAAATCCAAACACACCACGCAGTATCCAAACTTGTCTTCGGCCAACAGACTCGTCCTACATAGAGCCGAACTGTCTTGGCCTGAGATGGCAGTGGATTTGTATATCTGAAAGAGAAAATCTGTAAACTCAACGTGGCAAAAATTAAAGAGGGAATATTTGTACGCCCAACATTTAGAGGAAGAAAAACTGAATGATCAGGTCTCAGGACTCGCCTAGAAATGTTTTGCGAACGTTTTCCAACATTTTTTTAGGAAACCATAAATCGGAAAATTACAAAGATTTAATAATAATCATAATTTCATATAAAGCTTTCGGTTTAATATACCCTTTAAAAAACATATGCTTGCAGATTATTGTTGTAGACTTAAAAAAGACCTTCCAGAAGCCAAATATTCATGAGAATCGTAAGTACTTTTCTATATTAAATAATGCATCTAAATGTAGCTTATTATTGTAATTTTTAAGAAAACATATGTTTTGATGTCACAAAAAAACCTGACGTGGCAAATTTTTTTCATTCACATATTATTGTTTAGTGGTCATATTACATTTGAAATTTGATATGAGTTTTCATGTGGCAAAAAAAAATTAAAATTTGTTAACCAGTTTTATTTACACTAAATAATTTAATCCCTTAGTGAAATAATACTTTAATGTCAAATGTAACACTTCAAGTGATAAAAGTGTCCACATTGCCTGCTTTTATTGTGTCCCAACCAAACATTTTTTCACTCACTTTGAAATTTCATATACTTGTATAATATTATTTCACATAATTTATACAAAATATATTTTTATAAACTGCGCCGGCGTTAAAATAGTCGGTATAAGCCGAATATAATGCAAGTTTTTCACTTTTTTTACTTCTTTATATTTAATTTTAATTGAATATTTTTATTTTTGCATTCTTCACAGTAAATTAAATTTTTTATAATCTGATAAGTTTTAATATTCTTTACGTATTGCATAACTGCATAATTATTATTATTATATTGCCATAATGGCAATTATAAAATTTTTATTTCAAATATACATATGTATATACATTTAATATATTTTTTTCCATCTCCATAAGAAACTTTATACTTTGAGTTTTTTAACAGAATGCCGTAAAAGCAAGATGAATTTGGCTATGTGAAAAATCAATTGCAACTGATTTTGTAGCGCTGCGTTTTCACATGCGTTACTTACATGCATCTAAATTATATATGTGCTATATACACAAAATAAAAAGAATTGGCCCCCTCCCTATCGAGTTTAATTATAAAAGATATGCTGATAAAGTCACATACCTTCTATTTTTAGTATTAATATTATATACTCTCAAGTATCACGGGTTCTAGTTAAATAAGTGTTAAGCAGCCTTCACTTTTCCCACTGATGCTTGTTAAATCGATACTGGCGTCTTGCGGCGAGATTCAGCAACAACAAGCCTACTGCTGCCACATAAAGCATATACAATGTGAAACCCACACATACACATAAACACGTTGCGTTGCGTGAAAAAGGGTGGCAGTGCGTTTGTGTGGCGCATACACACACACAAAAGAGGTGGAGTGCGCTCCTGCCAAGGAAAATGCGTTTGGACAACTTCAAGTCTCAAGCTCGTCTTACCGCTTTTGGGGTCAACCGTTTGAAGAATGTACACCATATGCGGCATAATACCATTTTGAGTGTTAGATTTGTAGTTGTTGTTATTGCAGTTATTGGTGGCAATAACACGAGCGCAGCAAACAGTGCCATTGGCAATGTCGCATATTTTATTGATTGCGCGTTTGCCTGCCGCAAAGGCAGCATCTAGCGGTACAACATGCAAGATGTTGCAGAAAAAAGGCGTGCCGCCACGCAACACAAAAAAAAGACCGCAAACTGCTTGTGTTGGCAATTGGTTCAATGATATTGGAGGCATTTACAGCAAACGGCACTTGTTGTTGCAACAGCGTTATCGCCATAAAATCCATACTTTTTATGTACAAATTCGCTTCTTTTAACGAACGCGAACTCATTAAGTTAATTAAAAAAGCAAAAGTTCAAACTCACCTTATTTGACGTGCGAGTTTTCTACAAACGGCTTTCAATTACCCTGGAAATGTAAAAGATGCTGATTCAGTCGACTTTTTCGAATACACTTTTTATATTTTACAAAACATAAAATATAATTAAAATATTTTACGCAATTCAATTAATTTTATTAATATTTTCTGTATTTTTCGAAAATTTTAATTAATAGCTATTTTTAATTCATAGATATTTTATCTTTCCGCACACTTATTTTTTGTACATACAAATTTTCCGATAAAAATGCACAGTTGAAAGTTCGTATAGATACACTTTAACCGCGCGTTACGTATATACACTGCACTCGCTTCTTCGCCCTCTTGAAGCTTATAATCAATAACTTCTAACTGATTTTCTTAACCCAAATTTACCTATGCGTATTCACAGTAATTATTATTTTTTTTTTTTTGGTACGTTAATTCACGGCAAAATTTATCGACAGAAAAATCACCAACTAATTTTCTATAAATTTAGAACTTTTATGAAATGCTTAGCTAGCCACTAGTTAGGTTGACAAGTTCCAAACACGCTCACGTTTTCCACTCAACTAATACGTTGCTTTCTTCTAAGTTGTTATAGAGGCGCTTGTTAACCGCTTGCTCTTCTATCGCTGCTCAAATCTCATTTTGTTTGCTAGCAGGTGGCGGTTGTAGATGAGCTGTGTGCGCGAGATAGTACTTGTGCACATGTGCAAGTTTAAAGGTACATGCAGATATAGTGTATGTGAAAGACGTTTTTTTGTAATCCCGTAAATTTCGAGATTTTCAAGAAATGGTTAACATATAAATGAAAATAATAAACCTTCGGGATTTTCATAAATAGTTTATATGGCACGGGATTGTCATAAAATGTTTTTTGAATCCTGAGAGTGCAACAAACATTTTTCTTATGCACAAAAATAATCTTAATCAATTGACTGTAAAATATTTGCATAGGACTCTTACAATTGAACAGTTATATATGAGGTTTTGCGTCAAAACTTTTTAATTTAGGTAGTTAAATTCTTTATTTCATACTTGAGCATATTCTCTGCACTCCACACAATTCATGCCTAGTAGTTTAAACGTTTCGGGTTTTACGTCACTAATGTGCATCAAAACATACCGCTCTCGAACTTGCAAAAGTCGAATTGGAGATAAACTTGACACTCACAACTTCAAAAAAGAGCTAGTAGAAGACAACGACGATGGGGAAATTAGATAATACGCCTTTTGCAATTTATCTAATTTTTTCTCTTTAGAATAATCTTATCAATTGAAGTTCTGACCAGTGCCGTCAATCAATATTTAATTTTAATTTAAATAAACTAATTTTTCACATAAGATATGTTAATGATCTGAAAAAATGCATTTGAATAAATCCACAGGTTATACAAAAATATGGACTTTTCAATTTCAACCAAAAATTGTAGATCATTTTGATTTTATATCCGACATTACTTGTCAAGTCTGTTAAATAATTTGCTTAGTTAGGTCTAGAATAAAATTTGACAAGTATATTAATATATAATTTGACAAGTATATTAATATAGGTAAAACATCTATAGGTTAGAAAGAGACATATTATATATACAACAATTATATAAAATTTTGCTAAAATATCATATAAAATCATTTTATACTTTGAAACATTTTATTTGGATTGTGAAACTGAAGTAAGAGTGTAAGCGACATACATCGATCTTATAACATTCGATAACGGCAATTATCGATTATTGCAGCGTTTGTCAAAAATTATTAACACAAACAAATGTTTTAATTTTGCTGTGTTCCGAATTGCGAAAATTGCGTTGCTGCAAAAAACTATTAGTACTAGTGCAATTTGTAACAAAACCTCGTAAAAATGAGTTCTGGTGTTGTGCGCGCACCTGTTTCGCAGCTCATACACAATAAAGAAGAGGATGTTGACAGTGAAGAACCAAAAAAGAAATCCCGTGAGGATTGGCGTAAAGCCAAAGAGTTAGAAGAAGCTCGTAAAGCAGGTACTGCACCTGCTGCGGTTGATGAGGAGGGTCGAGATATCAATCCACATATACCACAATACATTTCCAATGCACCTTGGTATTATAATGCACAAGGTCCAACATTAAAACATCAACGGCCACAAAGAGAGGATGAGCAGGGTCAGCTGGAACAACGTGCACCAAAAGGTTTAGATACCACTAAATTGGTGACGAAATTCCGAAAGGGTGCATGCGAAAATTGTGGTGCGATGACGCATAAGAAAAAAGATTGCTTGGAGCGACCACGCAAAGTGTTGGCCAGATATGCTGAGTCGATTGTGGTGCATGATGAGCATGTAGTGCAAGATACAGCGGTTAATTATGATGAAAAACGCGATCGATGGAGCTCATATGATCCCGCCAATCATAAAGAAATAATTGAGGAATATGAAAAAGTCGAGGAAGCCAAGCGGCAACTAAAAGCAGAGAAGTTGAAAAAAAGTAAGTTATTCGAAACATTTTATCGTCAGCAATTTAGTTATATTTTTATGTGTATATTATAGATCCTGATGCAGAGTTTTCGGATGATAATGACAACGAGGATAAATACGTAGACGAGGTAGACATGCCTGGCACTAAAGTGGACTCAAAACAACGAATCACTGTGCGTAATCTGCGTATACGTGAGGACACTGCAAAGTATCTTAGAAATTTGGATCCGAACTCAGCTTATTATGATCCAAAAACACGTTCTATGCGTGATAATCCAAATCCACACATGACACCAGAAGAGTAAGCCTTGTAAATTATTTTTTTTTTTTATATTCAACTTTTTTACTATTTACAGAGTGGAATTTGCTGGGGAAAATTTTGTCCGTTTTTCAGGTGACACTACAAAACATGCTACGGCTCAACTGTTCGCTTGGGAAGCGCATGGCAAAGGCGTTGATGTGCATTTACTTGCTGAGCCCACGAAGTTAGAGCTGCTACAGAAGGAGTACGACAAGAAAAAAGAACAGTTCAAGTCTAGTGTAAGTACAATGCTCACTTAAATATTAAAATCTTATTCTAGATTTCTACTTTATTATTATATTAATAGACTAAAGACCACATAGTGGAGAAATATGGTGGCGAGGAGCATCTGAAAGCACCTCCCAAATCGCTGCTTCTTGCTCAATCAGAAGAATACATCGAATACTCACGAAGTGGTAAAGTTATTAAAGGCATAGAAAAACCAAAAGCTCGTAGTATTTACGAAGAGGATATCATGATTAATAATCATACAACTGTCTGGGGCAGTTATTGGAATGGTGGACGTTGGGGCTACAAGTGTTGCAAGTCTTTTATAAAGGTATTTTACAATTACTTGTCCCAATTTTATGTTCGAAATATTTAATTATTTATGTATTGCCACAGAACTCTTATTGCATTGGCATGAAGGATCCAGACGCGCAAGCTGATCTGCTAAATCCCGCCACGGGCACTTGCGTATCAGATACTGCAATAACTACAGAAGAGACAAGGGAAGAAAAAGAGGAACCAGCAGAATCTGCCTCCTCTTCCTCCTCCTCTTCTTCATCGTCATCGTCTTCTTCATCCTCATCATCTTCATCAGAAGACGAAGAGGAGGCCAAAAAAGCGCAGTTAGAAAATAAAAAGGTGAAGAAAAAAATGAAGAAGCGTGAAAAGAAACGAAAGAATCAAAAGCGAAAAGAGAAAAAAGAAAAAACAAAGGAAAGAGCTCTTCGTGCAAAGAAGAAAGTGCAGTTGGAAGCTGCTTTGCGTGACATACGCGCCAAGGTGGAAGATGAAGACGAGCACAAGGATGAACGTAAGCGCGGCTACAACAGCAAATACGACGTTAAGGCACCGACGGAGGAAGAAATCGATGAGTGGAAACGCAAGCGGCCGCGCACAGATGATCCTATGATGCAATTTATGTCCAAATAAACGATTTACTGCTACTTTAATTAATTTGTTGTTTAATTTTTTATTAAATTAATACAAAATGTAATATTTTTTTACGTAATTATAATCTAAATAACTAAACAATGGCATATTGTTCATAAAGCAATTCCCTAACTTTATAGTACTCCTCTGATACGCAACCCTCCATAGTCACTTTACCCGCATCCATACGCCGTAGAGCCAGCGTGCCATTTGCACACCATAATACACCACCAGAAAACTCCGAACTGATATTGTTGCGCATCAACACTTGCTTGAAGTCGGACAGCTTTAGTTCGTTAATCAACACAGCATTGTGCACAGGTATGTCGTCGGTTTCGAGCGTTTCAAGTGTAAGAGTCTTATCCTCCGATACCTCGACTACCATGTCGCCGTCATTCGTGGCTCTCGAATCTATAGCCTGCGTACGCATGCCAATACGGGCATCCACCCAGGCCACCTCGGCATCTTTCCCCTTTTGGAATTGTAGCTGAGCCACTAGACCCTCCGTCAAACGCACTTGGTAGATATGCGACTCGGTTGTGGCATCAATGGTCTGTTGTGTTTAAAATAAAATGAGTTTAAAATTTAGGTGGAAGAAGTATTAAAAAAAAACTTACTTCGCCCTTTTGTGGCGTAAAAACTCTTGCTCCAATATTTTGTTGACAGTGATTGGCAACAACACTGGTGGCCTCCTCTGAGCCGTGTACTACAATGACACGTCTGGGCCGCAATTGAGATAATATCTTAAGCATCGATTCACCATCCGAGCGGCCTTCAAAATCGATTCGCTGAATTTGTGCATTAATTTCGATTGTTTTCCGCTGACTGGTGCATTTGGTGGGTTTCTCCAACAACTGAACATCTATTTGTAAGAAATCTTGTTAAGTTTAGTTTTGAATGAATAATTATATAATTGTTTATACCATTTGTATTCGTTTTACTCTCCTTCGGTTCTTCTTTTTTGATATTTTCCTTATTGTTTTCATCGATCGTCGTTTCAAAACCCATTTCCGAGATGCGGTAATCCTCTAAATTGATAATTTCGCCATATTCGTCACACTTGATTTTCTCCTCATGGAAGGGAAACATGGCATAGTGTTTTTTGTTAGATTTGAAGAAGCCACTGTGATGACGGCCCTCCGGCCGGACAACGATGTCATGCTTGCCGGTAATAACGCTCATTTCGATGTCATCATCCGAATCCGAGCTGCTTTCTTCTTCTACATCCTGCTTAACAATCAAACGGTTTAACTTTTCCCCTTGTGTGCGCAGATATTCTTCCAATTCAGCACCCTCCAGTTCTACACGTCGACGTACATCTAGTTCCAGCTTTCTCCCCGGTGAAGCATTGTCAACCAAATCCATTGCTAATGTACCCTGCGACGTCCTAAGCAAAAAATTTATATATTTATATTTGGTATACATATTATCTAAGAAAAATTAATTACCTGGATGTGATTATTATACTATTTAAAGGATTTGCCGCCCATTGCACGAATAATTCACGCGTGAAGCCGCTTTCCAAATCGGGTGTGCTGGCCAGCACAACCTTTGGACTGGACATCTTTGCCAGCTCAGCTAAATTATGGCACAGTTGCATGTGACGAAATTGAAAGGGATTATTTCGTGCACCCTCAAATGACTTCATCAGCTTATCGCTCATCCATTCAATTTGTGATTTTGCAAATTCAATTACATTGTAACTGACGTTATTCAACATAGCCAGTGAATAGGCCATCAGACCAGATTCTTTGTTTTTCCACAGTTGATCAAGCATATGCGCCAACTCCAGCACACGACCTGCTGTATCCACCGCAATCAAAACATTGCCATTGTTGCGCACCGTTTGTAGAATATTTGTCATCAGTTTTTCGTCGCGCGCACGACGACGTGCTTGCTGATATTGTGCATTAAAAGCATCTGTTATAAGTAATGATGGCCGTTGGAGGCGCTCCAGTTCACAGCCATTTAGATGACGCTCTTTTTTATGATTGAAATCTGTAGCATAAACAATGTCTTCTTCACCCACTTTGAGGATTTTCCAAATAGTGCCACCTATCGTATGCCCTGCTGGCAATGGCGTTACAGTGATACCATAGCCTTTACCTAAACAAAACACAAAAAGTTATTGGTATATTTTTGGGTTAAGTACAAGTATGGCTAACCTTTGAGAGAGACTGTTTGATTGTATTTAAGTTGAATGATTTTATCGAAAGCCGCGTCCACATCGTCAAGTGAAAATAAATCAAAATCGTACATATTATAATGCGACATATATAAATCGTACATAAACATTTGCCCCATTTTATAAACAGGGATTGTAGCATAGATCGGGCAATTCATGCCAAGTTTGCCGACGAGGTAAGGCAAAGCACCCAAGTGATAAACATCAGGGTGGGACAGAAGCACAGCGTCGATGGTGTGCACATGCCTGTCGGTAAAAAAAAATACATTACTTATAAATATGTTATTCACTTTTTTCTTACCTTTTTAATTCCTTTATAAGGTTGGGATCGAATTTTTCGTCCCAGCCGCAGTCAAGCAGTATCCGCACTTCGTCAATTTGTAATATATAACAGGGTGGCGTTTCGTCCATTGCCCCGGATATTGTATGAAGCTTTATTATAGAAGTCATTTTGTATAAATGCTAGTAATATTTACTGATTGATGTTTATTTTATCTCTAAACAAATTGTTACTTTATTTGCCTAGCGGCACTTTGTGTGTTCGCTTAGGCTTCGAAATATTGCCATATATATGCAAAATACTAAGACGAATTATTTTACTATTTCTATAATGTGGCAATCTTATGTTATCAGCTGTGAACCTACAGGGGTATTCACATCAACAGGTATTATAAGTCATTACGTCTTTTTTAAATATAATAATTAATATAAGTTTACATTATATATAGATTAAATGAAAAAAAAACAGGAGTACATTGTTTTAAAACTTTTTTTGTAATAATATAAAAAAACTAAGTCGACTTTCTTGTTTGTCTTCTTGGTAGATTCGTAAATCTCTTACGGCATTCGCATATAACTCTTGCTTGTCTCTGCTTCAGACATTTGCTTTCACAGATAAGTTGGATTTATGCTATATAAGACTTCGTTCCCATTGAGGCTAAACAAAGCAATTCAAAATTTGGGGCAACTCCCATCATTTCACGCTTTGCCAAGCAACAGTCGGCATTATTAGAGTGAAGCACGGAAAGCAAAGCGTCCATTCTCGCATATCCTTTGCTTTCATCGTTTCGTGGTTAAAGTAAGAAATGTCAAGCAACACGAGGAAAGTTTTATGCTAATCACTTATTAAGCTTTTATATATTTTGGTATTACCGCCTATACGTTACCTCATGCGGACCAAGATTTTTTTTTCTCCAAGTCCTGTGTAATGATTATATGTTTAGTTTTTAGTGTAACATCCACTGCTGCTCTCGCCTTAACGGAGTGGACGATAGCGGTAATCGAAAACATATTAATGACTGCTTGTTCTCTCTTGATACCAATATTTCTGAATTATTGAACTTTTCGGGATAAACCCAACGTGTTAACTGCTATTGATTGTGAATTAGCACCTACACAGAATTGAAAATCTTAGTTTTTCCACTCCCACTGTCCAATTTCTTTTATATTGGAACATCTCATCTCAAGCCATTGAAGAGATTTTGGAATTTCGCCAATGTTATGCTTTAACGTTTTTATCATCCACCGCGCATGGTCTGCATTCTGTCGCTTTACCAAGTTATTGAAGGTGAGATCTCAGGGGTATGTACCCTATGATGTCCCGAACCATTTTAATCAAAACCCTTTTTTTCTAAATGTATAAGCCTTTTTGCCTGTTCGCTGTCTACATTTTTTTGTATCCCCTCTATTGATGAAGTTTCTGCATCTGAGGTGTTCCTCGAACATCCATTGCATCGAGCAACCTTAGTTTATAGAGACTGTCGGCAATCAAAAATTAAAAAAGGAGTTCATAAAGTAGTTCCGTGATATTTTTTCAAATATCAATATATTTTTATATCGTTTATATATAATTTAGTATAAATTAATATGGTTTACGATTTATTTTAAAATAAGTTAAAACTTAAAAACAACAAAGATGTGCTGCACTTAAAATCAATTTACAGTCAACTGCTAAACTTTAATATCTCCAAAAAAACTATGACATCCTTTATATCATCCTGAAACTAAAATACAGTCAGTCATAATCCAATGTCAATATCAAACATATTTATCATAGTTATTTTCGACATAAATTTAACAGATGACTATGTATTCTGATCTTAAAGCGGCAATGGCCTTCAACAACAAGAAAGTTTATTCAATTGCGTGATCATTCGAACAACTTTAGTTCTCTGCTGATTTTCCTAATTTTATTATCCAGTGTTTTGTCTTCCGCTTCACAGATATAGTAATGCCTCGAAGTACACTCCTGTCCATAGTAATTATAAATGTGTTTTGTGGGATTGTAAGAGAGACGCAAGCAACGACCTTGACCCTCAATCTCCACTGTATTATTTAGGATAGTTTCATTGAGGGAAGGATCATCTTCGTCCTTCTTCTTCTTCTTATCCTTGTCGTCCACATCGATTGTATTGCTCTCTGTATTATTTGCATGTGACATGGCAATGGATGTGAGATTCATATTTGGATTGACCGGTTTCGCCGAATTAGACCAAATCCAAAGCAAACCGGGATTTAAACCACCCAACCAGTAGTCGCGCCCACGATGCTGAGGCTGATTGAGTAGGTGAGCCATGATTTCTTCATTTTCCGAACCCCTTTCAAACTCCGCAAGATGTGAATTCAGTGCCTTACACGCTGAGTTGGCGGTCTTCCAATTCACCTGCTGGTTGCTATTGATGTAATAGCAATTATCACTGATACGTGTGAAATTTGCAGGGCAGGGATCGCGCACTGAAATTCGAAAAAATATTAGTTTAAAGTAAATTTACAAAAAAAAGGGGTTCTGTTAGTCACCTTCTTTCTGATTGTTTCCCGCCATTAAGTAGTAGATTAATTGTTCGGCGCGTCGTATGCGACTCTCCAAGTAATCCACGCGATAAACGAGTTTCTCGATCGCACCCAATAGATACAGATCATTTTCTGTTACTGCCCGAAATGGTGGTTGCGCTCCGTTATGTTGTACCGATTGTATATGGTGCTGTTGCACGGGTACTGGTCGCACTGGCGGTGGTGGTTGTGCTGGTGGTGATTGAGACTGACTGCTGCCGCCTCCACCTAAGCCGAACAGTTGTTGGAAAAATCCTGGTTGTTGACGCTGTTGTTGTTCCTGTAGTTGTTGCTGTTGTATCATTTGGTTTGTCATAGGACGAAATTGTGGATTCACTACATGAACCGGTGGTCGCATGTGTGGTTCTAACTCGACTGCTTCGCCGATGCGTTTCGTTATGTAGACATTTGGTCGCTTATAAGCTGAAGAGTGGTAAGAAAGCGGACCGGGTCCTCCGTTTTGCATATTTGCATTCATCATAGACATATCATTCTGGCTGGGAATGAATGGCAGATCTTTTGATGTGCGCGCACTTGGACTAGATTGGCTGTAAAAAGTTGATTGAAAAGAAGAAACGTTACTTAAGTGATGGGGAAAGTTTTTATATCGTCGTACGACATTAAAATGGGATTCTCATTATAATTACATTGGGCTCAGAGCTAACGTATAAAGGTCGAACAATTACTTGTAGAATTACTCCCTTCAACGTCCCAAGTGTCGCCAAGTGATCGAATCAATCACACCAAATACTCGTATTGGAACGGGCAGGATAGAAGTTCTACTGACTGTATTGTCTTTTTTTTGTTCGTTGAGAGGGAAATGTCTATTCGGTTTAACCTAACTCTTGTTTTATAATGTATAATTTATTTTGGATTTAAATATTGATATTATTATTGATGGATCTGATTCAATTGTAGACGACTTCAACTTCGAAGTTATGACTATCACAGTAAAGCTTAAAGCCTGCGGGTGCGAGCACAATTATAGCAAACAATATTAAGTTTTGTCCTCATCTTACCTCTCCATACAATTTAGACCACAATAACTCAGTTTTATGTAATGACACTAACATCCTTAATCCGAACATGTGAGAGGGGAGAGGAGAGACTGAAGCTCTCCGCCTTTGTTGGAATACAAATCTGGGTCCATTCTGGTTACATAGACTCGACTGACGTAGGAACGGGTATGTACATTTTTTATTTCACACGTTATTAGTATGTCTGCCCGTCCATCTGTCTGTATATACGCCAACTAGTCTCTCAGTTTTTGAGATATCGATCTGAAATTTTGTATATGTTCTTTTCGTAGGACGGAACCGCCGTTATCAGAACAGTATAGGATATAGCTACAAACTGATTGATTAAAATCAAGTCCTTTTATGGAACGTTCATCTTCTAACTTTGACCCCGGCTCCTATAAAGCCCTCTTGTATCATCCTAGGTGTAAAATTTAAAGTCTCTGGCACATTTAATTATTGATTTATCACGTTTTTAACAAAACCGTTTAATGGGGAGAGTGTGCTGTTATAATCCTATTTCATCCAGTTTCGCCCTGTCGGCAGTGGTTCTTATAGGATTTTTCCTAAGCGAAGTTGGTTATTGTAACTTTTGAGACTTAAAAGATATGTACATTAAACCTATTAGAGGGCGGGCAACGCTCATTTTTATTTCAAAATTTTTAGTTTGCAAGTGTCCCTTTTTACTGCAGTTCCCTGTATCAAATAACAGGTTTATATCTTAATTTAGCGCTTAGTTATGGCATTTTATAGGCAGTGGTCCGATTGTGCCCATATATAAACTCGTCCTCACCTTTTTGCCAAGGAACATGTGTACCAAATTTCATTAAGATATCTTTATATTTACTTAAGTTATCGCTTTCACACCCGGACGGACCTACAGACAGACATCCAGATTACAACTGGTCTAATTAGTTTAATGTACATACTTATATATCTCCCAAACCAATAAACCTCTATCTTTCACATTTGCACCAAACAAATGTTTTCAACCCTTCGGATGATAACCCCGCCCACTCCCCATATAACGGTTTTGTAAAAAACTACTAAAAGTGTGGTAAATAAATAACTAAATGCGTCGGAGACATTAAGTTTTACACCCAGGAAGGCACAAGAGGGCTTTATAGGAGCCAGTATACGGTAGGCGTGGTACCGTCCACTTTTAGGTGAAATCACATATCTCGTGACCTGCTCGACCGTTTCAAATAAATTTATTACATAACATTCTTACAACATTCCCATGTTACAGTGCGAAAACGGAGGAAATCGGATCACAACCACGACTACTTCCCATATAACACAAATTGAAATTCCATCTGGGTCTTTCACATTCCAATACACAAATAAAGCACCAAAAAATATATCGGGATAACACTTTGCACAAATAGTCCCTCTAAAGTGTGCCACCTTATGACCAAAAATTGTCCAAATCGAACCAAAACTGTTCAAGCCCATAAATATGCAAAAATGAAAAAATATATTTTCCTAATAACAGTGTATCTTTGTAATAAATAAAATCGGGTGAAAACTTGTCTTATATTGTAGCTAATCACAGAATTTTCAAACCTCAGGTTGATTTTACTCCATATGTTATATATTGGTGACGGTATCTGAGGTACTTTAATGAAACTCAGGGAGCATTTTATTCTGTTAATAGTATGTTGTATCGCCAGAAAAAGATAAAATCGCAATCTTAGTAAAGTTAACTGATTAATATTGGATATATGGTACTATCGTTCAACGTATAATATTGGATATACTATAGTTTAATGCCGAAATATGTGAATTTAGTCTACTAATTACCCCAACTCCCAAATACTACATACTATATTGATTTTCGTTATATTATCGAACATTATGCCGAACATGTCGTTCAATGTGTGAGTTATATATTATATTTATAAAATTACTTGAAAATATAATCTAAAGTATACCTCAACAATGTCAAAATTTCCATTGATTTAAACCTTATAACCCTAAAATAATGAATTGCGAATTTAGCTTTTTCAGTTGAGTTTATATCCCATATTGATATTTAAAAAAATTTAGCTGCCGGGAAGTAAAATATAGTAATAAATCTGAGTAAATCTATGACCTATAATGTAACTTAATAAAATACCAAATTTTATTGTTATCCATTTACAAATTAATCGAATAATTAATGTTGAATTGTTTCGCAACATTTTTAAATATAAAGTTTTTCTAACACCTGAAGGTCCCTGCTTTGATCCTTGCAAGTTACAAGAGTATAAAATGTTTGGTTACACCCGAACTTAGCATTTCTTTACTTGTTACTTACATTCATACTTCAAATTATATCATTATGTTGATTATCATTACCTCAATATATAATCTTCGAGTAATTCTGACCACACCAATGGCGAAGCATTTTCCAATGACACTCCTGTGCTTGCCAAACCGCTCAATGAATCATTCGAATACTTAAGCGATGGTGTTATTTTCACATCAGTTTTGGTTTCATAACATAATGCCAAATTGGCCAAGTTCACAACGATTGCCACAACCAAGCATTTAGCGATTGATTGTAAACGAAAGCGTTTAATGTTCATCACAAAAGCACACTCGTCATTGGTATGACTAGCCGCATTAGCGAACCTTAAGAATTCATTGTCACTCCGTCTTTGTATGCACTTAACTTTCGTTTTCATTTTGTTTGTTATTTATTATTTATTTAGTTGAAAAAAATCATTTATTTAATTTATTAACATAAGCAGTTTAATGAAACAATAAAAATGTCATCGAAAATATTTTTATGTATATTTTATCAGCTTCTCTTTTAAAACACTAATTTTAATAAATAAAGCACTCGATAACTTTTCGACACCGTAGAGAAGTTCAAAAATCGATGCGTCCGATCGTCGCTCGCATAAAAGTTCAACTAAAATCGAATTTTCAAAAATAATTTCAATGTCTTCACTGCACACAAAGATATGAGTCAAGCGCTACACCTTCATGCTTATGAAAATTTGTTGGTCTTCAACTCCGGTAGTTAACTGAAAAAAGCACAATCACTGACATACACATATATACGTATGTATTTACGTGGGTTCGACCGGCGCTGTGAGCGCTCAGCCCCAGAGCTCGGCTTTAGCCATTGGCAGTTGACACTTATCAAGGTTTGTTGATGTTGCTGTTGTTGCTGGCCCACTCCTAAACTATTTAAACTGCACGCATGCGCATTAAGACATCAGCTGAATACTTTTAAACTTTCTCCATTTACTCATTGCTCAGACGACGCGCGTAACGAGCACTCGAAGTGAACTCCTATACATCTAAAATTATATATTTACTTTGTATATACATACATATGTATGTATGTATGTATATGTAAGCACGTCGTATGAACTCTTTTGTAATCGACGACAAATTTCAATCAATAAATAATTTACAATTTTAATTTTATCGCCAATATTATCATAAAGTGGGAACAGACTTAGCCGTGAGACTAACAATAACAACAATAATTCTACGAAAAACAGAAGATATATCGACGCACCACTTTAATAGATGTTTGGAATCTCCGCTATATTTCTAATTTTCCTTTGTAAAGTAGCTTTTTAAAATAATTATTTAAATTGTGCTTATGCAGGTGAAAATGCTTTTTTCCTATGTAAATCGTAAGAGGTCTAATAAGCACTTCGCCCTCAAAAAATGTTGCGATTTCAAATGGTCAGTCGGTGTACCATGAAGTAAGGTCAAAAATTTTACCGGTTGCCAGTTGTTGAAATTGCTTGGAAGACATACATATGTCAACACTGCCTTCTTGACTATTCCGCCTTTGTAAGGTCAATACTGAAATACGTTGGTTCTCACACCTGCGAATATTAAGGTAAACTAAAGACAATATAGCTTTAGCTTTACATGAGACCAAGCTACAGGAATGTTTTTAGCAGCCCCTATTAGAGGGACCCCATAGAACCTAATTTTTAATTCATTTATGCCTACTCTGAACGAACAATGGTTTTTCTATTTAAAAATTTTTCTTGTAAAAAAATAATCTCTCTTCTTATCTAATCTTATTTTTAATTTATTTTTTTAATACAGACAGCTAACATTCGATTTCGGATTACTTTTCAAGTTCAAAGCAATTCGTGAAATTTCGTCCCAAAAGTAAAAATCAAGCATAGACATAATGAATGCATTATTACAATTAATTCATTAAACTTTTTTTCGAAATATATAAAAAATTATAATTATAATATTTTAATAATCACACCATTTTTATGTAAGGAAAGTATTTCGTTTGCGAAGCAACATCATTAACTTAACATACAAGTATTAACATAATTGTGAGCATTGTTGTTAGTGTATTTGTATGACATGGTGAATGTATGACATGTAACGGTAAATGCTTATGGTATACCAAACTTGGAGCTTTAACCATGACTAGGCATGAAACAGGAATGAGTTAATTGTAATGGCTTGCGACATTTACAAAAAATAATTAAAATGTCACTAATGCCTTGTGGACGCCGTTGCCAAGTCGGTTAGCGTACAATCATGTCAAACACATACATAGTAAATATTTCAGGTTTTTTCATATGTATGTACATACATATATATATCTAACTTAAAATGAGATTAAACTAACATGTTCCTTTTGTATGAAAAAGGGTAGATGATTATGTTAAGACATGTCCCTGATTAACATTAGGTTTACAGAATCAATTTGACGGGTTTCGAACTTTGAAATGAAACACACAAAAAACCATTGTATTAAATCCTAATTTAATTATTTATATATGAAAATTATGCCGCATGAATTTGGGATTAAGTTTTAGTTAGTGGTTGATGTTTAATTAAAATATACATATTTACAACAAGCTAGAAATATATTGATGGCCAATTTCTTTCACTAGCTAAAAAATTGCTTGCACTAAATACAACCTTGGTTGGTACTATCCGCTCGAACAAAAAGGAACTGCCAAAGCCACCGAAGCAAACAAAGGACAACCGAAAGGAAAATTGCTCCTTCTAAGCAACTAAGAGTAGAAATATACAAATAACAAACAATAAAAAACGTGTTCCAGATACTAATAGTTAGGCAACGATGAAGCATGAATATTGTATAAAGAATGTACCGGATCGACAATATAGATATATATGTATAAATATATAGAGGAGTTCATATTTTGCTTAGCCGAGGAATTAGCAGGAGAATAGAAGGAGAAATATCGTGAATCGTCAACATCAGGGTTCGGAAAAAGTTGTCAAGTGGGCTACTGTAATAAAAATAAAAGCAGTAATTGCAATATGTATTGCACGAAGATCGTATGTGGAAATCCATAAAAGATTAAATCAAATCATATGAAATAAATGTGCTAAATAAAAGTTATTACCGTGCAGCGTTATTATTATTGTTATTATGTTTTTTATATTATTCAACTCAGTCAGACTTACATAGTTTGAATAAATTTATTTTTCAAAGAAAATTCGAATCTTCACATGACTCTCAATTTGACGAGTGCACGTAGAGATAGACATATATAAGAAAACCCGTAAACGTAGTATTAAGGACACACTTTGGTATTTACCACATGCGTTGCAATCAAAAAATTATATTTAACTTAAATCTATTTTCATATATTTTTAATTATATTAAAATTCTGATCCGATATATCAAAATGGAGAATAGAAGAAGAGCAATCCTTCACTTCCACAAGTAGTGTTAGTGTGGTCTGAAGTGGACAACTAGCATTGATTTGTAAAGAACAACGAAGAGGTAAAAACCGAGTTTACATACATATGTAAATTAAAATTTTATCGTGAAGAAATGTATCAAAATGAAGTCCAATTCTCTCCTAAAGTCTTGTGCTTTTCTTAACACTAAACTATCATTTATTGAACGACAGAACTTTGCATTTCCATGATATAAGTCGTGTGCGATTCGTTACTTCTCTACTCGAGGCAAAAAGACCCTCCGTTATCTACAATTTTTTTATATATGCGTATGGTGAACAACAAAATTATACAATTAAATTCTTTTGGGACTGTCTTTGGAAAATGTATTTTAATCGGGAATAAAATGTATATCTATGAATATATTTTTTTAGATTTCATTCCAGAGTGCAGCATAAATCTTGTATAATTTATCAAGTCATATAATTAACGTAATTCCAGAGAGGCTAAAAAGTTGGTATGGTTTATATAGGAGGGCGAGTACAAAAAATAAGTCATACGTTTTCTAGTTAGACCTAACCTTCAAAAGACTTCAGCATACATTTCACAGTTGTAAGTAAGCTATAGTATTTTAGGGAACGAATATTTTGATATTTTTATAAAAATTAAAACAAATGAAAAATACGATGAAACTAAAAAGTTACGTACGACTAGAGAGTAATCGATGTCGATGAATCCTGTGAACGTTAAAAATTGGATGTTACAGACGAAATTATTACAAAGTCAACTCAAACGATGAAGCTTCAGACTTGTCAAAACACTGCACTCCGGACTATCACGGGATACCTCTTGATGTCCCCAATAGAACACCTCAATAGGGAGACCCGTATGCTTCCGGTTAAGGAACATAACGAGCTCCTCTCCAAGCAGTTTTCGCAGGGATGTTTTCGTAGAAACTGTAGTCGTATGCTTGAAGCGGAACTACCTCCTAGGAATATCAAGAGGTCCTTTCTTGATTACGTTGACGACATTAGACAGTACGCCGACCAGACTTCGGACGCAACGAAATTTAGACAAGCACTGACTGCCATTCACAGTGGAGCCATCAACACCTTCATCGACTCCCTCTCAGTGAATGGCGTACTAGGAGTCAAACCACCACCCATCGCAGACGTAGAGCTCGAGTTGCCTCGTAAATCTAGAGTGACCTTTGCGCAACTTCGTTCTGAATACTGTAGCAGGTTAAACTCTTACTTATCCAGAATCGACCCCGACATGCAATGAGTTTCCGCATGACACTAACCACCTCTTTGCATGCCCAACGAACCCCACTCATCTAACATCCATTTCCCTATGGTGCGACCCTGTCGAAACAGCTCGTTTCCTGGACCTCCCGTTAGATGACCTCGAGTACCAAACTATAACTTACCACCCAAGCGTGGACTAGATAACCGTTACAACAACTTTCTACAAAGGTCTATTTTGAAGCAAATTTTTTTTCTTTTTTACTACAAAAATGGTATCCAATCGTTGGAAAAACGCTATAAACTGGGTATCACCCGCGATAGTGACCGTTATATAATAAATAATAAAATCGAATTTTGATTAAAAATAATATTACTAGCCAAATTAATTTGTTTAAATGACTACCTGTAATCTTCCACGAATGCCTATGTAAATAAACCGTGTTTTCCCAACTGAAATGTAATAATGTGAAGAAACATATTGGCAACAGCAACAGCTGGCATATTTTTAATAATCCAATCCGCGCTCATCATTCAATGTGTCAACGGCCACTTGGCGTTTAACGTTCGACAACATGGATGACATTTAAATTACTTTCTTTTATGTACATATTCCGTTATTATAGCCACCAGATCGAAGTGGTTTTTATGCTTATATGCTTTAAAGTCGGTACTAAAATTAAACTAGCAATATATATGTACATGTGTATTTTATACTTAATATTTTGTAACATATTCGCATAAAATTGTTTTTTAATTGTTATTTTCTACCTGACATTGCGACTACTTGGCTACCAGCTACTGTAATTTGTTTTGCTTTTTATTTTGATTTCATAATATACCCATCCCACTTTCCGTTATGCTTTTACCACTTAAAATTTATTTATGTATGTGCATATGTATATGTGCATGGTGGTTGGGTTTTTACAAACCCCTTTTACTTGACTATTGCTGTTATTGATAAATTTATGTATACATTTTCGGATTTGTTGACAATCTACTTTGATGTATCTTCAAGTTGTCAACTACACTAGTTAACAGCGAACAAGTTTTGTGATGCCAATTGATATTAACATATGTACATAAAGGGTTTTCCAATAAGAGTGATAGGATTTAAAAACACACTAATTGTTAAGGAAATTCAAATGTGTTTTACTTAATGTGAAGTATAATTGATACAAAGAAGTTCTGAATATAACATCATTCAAATGGCCTCCACGAATTCATTTGCAGGAACGAATTGGATGAACCCAATTTTCATACTTTTTCTACTAAATCAAGTCGTATGCCATGAATAGCACGTTCAATTTTGACTTCTAAAGCTTGAAGAGAGTCTGGTTTATTGCTGAAGACCAATGACTTCAAATAATTGTTAGGTTAGTCTAATGGTGTTAAGTCACAACTTCTTGGAGGCCATTCAATGTCACAATTTCTTGAAATTATCGAATCTTCTAACTTTTCTCGCATAATTCGAGAGAGAAGATGAGATAGGAGAAGATGATTTTGTTTAAAAATTAAAAAAAAAGTTGCAATTGGGGAACGATTATTTTGATGAAAAAATTTAATAAATTGTAAACGTTCTTCTTGTGTAACATATATTTTCATGATGAAATTGTAAGCTTTACTGTTCGATAAAAAATATACTTTAGCATTACTTTGTCGGGCTCACAGGTACCTCAAACTCACTAACCATAAATAAATTAAGACAACTCTGTAGTTATTTGCTTGTAAACCGTGGTGTATTTGATAGACTTAAACGGCATCTGTTAGTGTACAGATGCAAGAGGAAGCAGTGAACCTTCACAAACTTACTAAAGTTTACGTGTCTGAAAGGTTTTGCATAACGGAGTAAATATTATTAAAAAAAATTGTTTAAAAATTATTAAATCACATATTCTACGTTAGTGGACTATTTGCTTTATTTGCAACGTCGGCTGAAAAGTCTATGGCCCAGCAACGAAATAATGTTGTTTTGAACGAAAATATGGAGTAATTTTATTTTTAAATTTAATACCGGTTCGATAGTATGAAGCTTCGAGGCATTCAAAATAGGCGTTTTTCCATATTGACCTCCATGTTTGAGTGAAATCACGTTCCACTTAGTCGACTCCACTACACACTAAAGATGGCGGGAAGAATGTCTTATTTTAAAAGAACTTAGAAAGCTGTTAAATTCAATCATCTTATAAAATGCATAAATATTGTCTTCATTAATAATAACATCTTCAGTTTCAATTTTTGTATATATAGGACATATTGTGCATGGGAAATGAATGTGTACATATCACTTAATACAATTCTACAGAAATAAATATCACATAAAAAACTGTCTAGCCCTACGAATCTCATTAACCAGTAAACAGTGAGTGAATCATTGTTAAAAATTCATTTTATACAATGTGGGCTTTACCCAAAATTCCACTCACAAATTGTTTAAGGCCATCTTTAAATCTTTTTTCAACGAATTGTTGACGAGTTGAAGGTTATAAGAGAAATGCTACTAACACGCGTTGGAAAAACTATGTGGCAATACCCGCATAACGACCAATAACCAACAGTTAAGTGACTGCTAAATTTAATTTTTATTTTATTTACTTTGGCCGTCTTCATAATTTGATAAAAGAGAGTATCTAGATAATCAATAATGTTGGATAGACACTTTGCTACTCGATCCTTATTTGAGTTATGTATGTCAATATTTAAAAATATTAGGTAATCTTCAAGGAGAGCACTTTCTTCAGCACAGCCTTCATCAATTAACATAGAACGAATCAGTTTAGTTGACTAACCCTCCAATTTAACTAAGCTGTCCAGTACATCATTAACCAGAGTCACGTATGCACCAGGCAGACGGAAAAGTTCGTAAGAATTCTATAAAAGGACAATTAAACTAAATAGATGAATGAAACTTAATCTACACAAAACAACTGCATACATTTCATAGCTGGCAGACAATTGGTTCATGAAATATGACGTTTTTAGAGCAGCATGTTTTGGTATTTTGAATAAAGGATAAAAAGAATTTTGAATGGATCCATTATTTACTTCGGTTTCCAATCTACAGTCATCTGCGTGGACTGCAGCCCTTGAATTTAATCCACAGCGTAAAAAATTAAAGAAATCAACAGTGAAATCGTGAAAAACGGCTTAATTTGCAGAAAAAACGTTAACTTCGGTTGCACCGAATATCCTTGCACTTATTACCATAAATCACAAATACACAAATTTCAGCACAAGAATTTGATTTTTATCGGTCAGTTTGTATGGCACCTATATGATATAGTGGGTCGATATCGGTTCCGATAAATGAGCAGCTTCTTCGGGAGAAAAGGACGTGAACAAAATTTCATATCGATATCTCAAAAATTGAAGGACTAGTTTGCGTATATACAGACAGACAGATGAACAGACGGACATCGACTCAGCTCGTCATGCTGATAATATATATATATATATTTTAAAGGGTCACCGATGTTTCCTTCTGGGTGTTACAAACTGTCAGTAAGAACCTGAATTGGATTTTTTACAGTTCTTTGACATTTGCCGCTCTATTACACTTAGAGCGTTTCATAGTAGTAAAAACGAAACCTATAATTGACAGCGCTTGCAATGTAAAGCACAGCAAGAGAAATCCGCAAAAACTAATCGCATTGAGCCAGTATCTTCAAATTTACTCTTATCTTTTTTCAATTTCAATCTCCAAATATGAAATGTTTAAATTTGTCTTCAAAACAAACTATCCAACCAGGCATGGAATCACATAAACGCTCCAAAAATAGAGATTTTCAACTCTTTGTGTATGTTTTAAATGTTTTTTTGTTGTTTTTGGTTTTATTATTATTAAATATATTTAATATTAAATTTATCATTTGCTCTCCCAGTGTAATATTCCTGATCAAAGTCGAACAATATTCTTTTCTCTCTACACATATGAATATGCTTTTTAGCTGTTATGTAAATAAGCGAGTAACAAAAGAGATAAACTTTAATTAAACCGAAATATGAAAGCAAATTTTGCATTAAAAATTGTGATACGACAGTTAATATTGTTGTTATTTGTTGAAGTTTTAGCTATTTTCAAATAAAGATCTCATTTAATTTATACAGTTGCTCGAAACTACACTCCAAATATATGTATGTGTGGGTTTATATATATTTTTTCGTTAATTTAGGAAATTTGTAAAATATGTTTTTTGTTTTTGTTAAATTTATTTAATAAAATATGATTTCAAAGCGCGTATGCTCCATTTACTTTTGTATTGCATTGTTGCATTTTTTGTTTACTAGAAAAATGAAAAAGCAATTAAAGGTGTTGTTGTTGCTGTTGTTGTCGTTAATAATTTTTTTTTTTATAAATTTTAGTTTTTCTTCATTATGTTGTTGGTGTTTTTAACATTTATACAATTATATTAAATTTACAGATTGTTACAATTTGTTGTTGTGATTGTTGTTGCACATGGATGTTTGACTCCAAAAGCGAAAACACTACAAGCAAACTTTTTCCATAGAAAAGCATTGTCGTCTTCACTTTTTGAACACTTTAATAACCAGCCAATTCGGCGAATGTGGAGTCCATCTCGTCGGCGAGCGACTTGTATCTGTCCTTGTTGACGCCCAATTCGTCTAAATAAATAGAAGGTGAAATGAAATTAATAAAAAAATATTTAAGCAATTGCTTTTGTATTCAAACAAATAAATACACTGTGCATAGTTGTAAAACAAATTAAAGCGGAATAGAAATGCAAGCAAAAGTGTGTTGAAGAAAAGCAACAAAATTTAAGCAATAACGGAATTTTTTACAATAAAATGAGCATATGGCAGGAAACAAATGTCTAACTCGTTATTAAAATTAAAAAAACAAAAATCAGAATTTTATTTATTTTTAGACTGCATGAAAATATAAATAAATCACTGCTGATAAATTTTCAGGGAAACTGAGAGAACTGTTTGTCTACTAATACTATGTTCACACTAATTTCGAAAATAACGAATTTCAAGCAAATTACAACTTAACAAAAATAAGATGTCATTCTTAATTTCATAATATCCAGGGGCTCCATTCCAAATTAGTTTTTTCTAGTGATTTTATGTCAAAATTATGAACATAATGCTACGAAAACTCCATTCGCTTACTTCAAAATAGATCAAAAGTGTTGACACAGGTTTAAATAATAGAAAATAAACAACTTGAAGTTGTGTAAACGCTATTAAAATAAATTTCAATGAAACTTCTTTATACGTTTAGAAAATTAGCCCAATTTACTCAACTTTTATATTGTATATAATAGTTAGTTAATAACCTAACATTTGAAAATCAACTATTTTCAAGTGCAAAAAATACCCTAACATATAGCCAAAACTGGCAAAAAACTAAAGTACCTCGTCAACAGTAAGTATGTACATAAATATACTAAATATAGTGCATAATGTGCAGTTTTTAGTACGTCAAATTCAACGACAACCAAAGTCAATTCAATTAAAAAAGGCTGACAGCAATTTATGACAACATTTTTCCACAGAAATTGACAACCTAATGGGAAAAATTCATTTTGGGCTTGTCTATCAAAGTGTTGTGAAATTTCAACGTATTTGAAATTGACAGATTGTTGTCATTGAATTTGACATAGTAGAAACCACGTAGAAGAAACCGAAAATTAAATAAACATAAGCAATGTGATCTCGATTCACTACAAAACTCAACATAAAAAATATACATACGAGTGTAAACAATTAAAACTTATGCATTCAACTTATCATATCACCTTTTATACATTATTTTACAGAATAGAGCATCACTAGAACGGCACTCTCGCATTTATTTTTGCTGTTGTTATGTACACAGTAATTAAGATTTTTACTCAGCAGTAGTTGGTTAGCGGATATTAAAAGCGCAGCTGACGAACGCGAAATTACCAAAAAAATAAATAAGTGACTAGTGGTGTGGGCGAATATTTACAGTGTATTTGGAGTGAGTGGAGGTGTGGCAGTTTTTGTTTGTCTCTTTTGATTAAGGATAACATGGTAATATGGCCGAAAATTAGTTCTGTGATGATTTGTAAAATGTGTGATAACCTATTTTTTGCAGTGTATGTTTCAATGTCCACGATTCAGTGGCATCAATGTTTGTTTGTTTGTGTATTTCAGAAAAAGTACATTTTGAATGTCGGAAATTGCGATTTGGTTTTTGGTTAGGCAAACATTTAGAAAACTACAATTGGAGTTGTTTGTATATTTGAATGTAGTCGTATTCTTTTTTAACTGAATGATATACGAAAAAAATATATATTTTTGTGATATGTGATATTTAATATCCGGTAAGTTCGGCAAATGTTGAATCCAAATCATCGCAGATTGCTTTGTATTTTTCTTTCTCATGGAAGAGACGGTCTGCAAAAAGCATTTTAATTTTTTACACATATTAAATAAGAAGCATTAATGGCAGTTAATACTGTAATAATTTACAAAAAAAATATTTGAAAAAACATAATTGAAAAAAAAAAATTAAAAAATAATAATTTTAAAACATATTAATAAAAAATATAATATTATTAAAATAAAATAAAAATTTAAATATTATATGGAAACACTACACCAGCGCGGTGTACAGTATATACAAAATAGTGCTACCAACTTTTCATAAATTCATATATACAAAATTTTATATTTAAATGTTAATAAATTTTTACAAAAAATATATAATATAACCAACAAACTTGTCAGTTAATTAGTTGAAGCTAAGCAGTTCGTTAAGCTGTTCAATATTTCAAGAATACAAAAAAGCTCAAAACATTTTCAAAAAACCCTTTACTATTTTTCAAAAACGGCCGTATATATGTACATAGTATAAATTGTTGCTAAACATACCTTCTAGCCTGTCGACCTCCTTCTGCAGACGCTTCACTTGCTTCTCAGCATGTTCGGCGCGCTGTTCGGCTTCCTTCAATTTCACAGACAGAGTCTTCATTTCACGCTTGAACTCCTCAACGCGTTGGTTGGCCTTCTCCTCGGATACTTCCAAAGATTTCAACGAGTTACCGACAACCTAGTTCAAGAGAAAATTCAGTTGTTGAATATATACATACATATGCTTAGCATATTTTATTATCCGTTATTACCTTCAATTCTTCCTCAAGTTCCATGATCTTGGCTTCACCGGACCTGACACGATCTTCAGCTACTTCCAACTCGTCTTCAACGAAGGCCAGCTTACGTGATACTTCATCGGATTTGGTATCAGCATCCTCAGCCAACATACGGGCTTCCTTCAATTGGTTGGTCAATTGATCCATACGTTCCTCATCTTGCTGTGAACGGTTCTCCAATACTTTGCACATACTGAAGGTAATGAATTTTAGTTTTTTTGTTAGATAATATTATCTTTCACCGCTTTAGAATTGCACTAACTAACCGGTTGTTCTCGTCAGCGGCTTGTGTGGCTTCCAGCAATTTTTGTTGGGCGCTGGTGGAGCGTTCTTCGGATTTCTCCAAATCTTCTTCAATCTGTTGCACCTTACGATTCAAAGTGGCTACCTCAGATTCGGTGGTGGTCAATTGTTTCTCCTTCTCTTCCAATTCGCGGTTGGCCTTGTCCAATTGTTCCTTGGATGTGACCAAATCAACATCAACTTGTACCAATTTCTTCTCCAAATCGCGCAATTCCTCTTGCAATTTGTCGGCGCGGGAATTGGCATCCTTAGCTTGAGATTCACAGGTGTCGGCCTTATCAATGGCGTTATCCTTCTCAAGCTTCATCGCTTGCATCTTCTTCTTGATGGCGTCCATGGTGACTGTGTTTTTTTGTTTTACTTAAGAGGAGGGAAAAATAAATGAAGAATAACACTGCAAATATATAGAAAATGAAAATGCTAATTAGTTCATGCGATTTGAAAAAAGATTTTTGATTTCAATAAAAGACCGTTTCTCCGTTGAACGATTTATAAGATGTGGGTGGGTTTGCTATACTATATATATTAATTCCTATGCTTTTTATTATTATACACACTAAGTATTTCATTAAAAAAAACTTATAAATCAAAACACAAAAATATTTTCATTCTTTATTTTGACTCAACTTGTCAAGGCAATTTATAATTGTAGCATAACAATAAGGTAGAGTTTAGACTCAATATGTATGTATATATCTTCTTCGACCAACCTTAAAAGCGTTTGCAATTTAAATATACGTCATGAGGAATGAGACCCTAAAGAGATGTGAGAAGTTAGATGAGCGAAAGTAATCCAAAGATTTAAGAAATCACGAAGAAAATCATAAAATCATAATGATCATTTCAGGGTTCGTCGGACTTTTTAGGCTCATTCTCAAAATATTTGAAAGAAAAAACAAGAATTTATAATCTCCTTAGATGGTGAATCAAGTCAACCACCGCGATTGAGTTTTTAAAATAAATTGTTAATAGAATTATTATTATTATTTTTGCATTAACAATTGGCCAATTGATTGGATGAATATCTGAATAATATTAACCCCTTGAAGGTAGCTAAAACTGGTAAGTCTGTCAACAATATATCAAGTAAGATGTTAATAATCAGAGCATGGGCTTTTATAGTCATTCAATATTAGGACTTAAATTATTTTATTTTCCATTTTGATTAATGTATATTATTCAAACAGATATTTTCATCTTCACCTTTCGCCACTCTCTAAAGATTCGTTATTTATCTTTATTTTTATATTAATTAAACTTGCAACACATATAAAAACCTACTGTTTTTGCACCTACTTCGTGTACAAATATTTGCATGTATCTCTCATATTTATTAATTATATTTTAAGCAAACATATATTGTATATTTCAGATTTATGCTAGACTATGAAAGTTTCTGGCCTCACCCTAACGCCCACATAAGCTTGCGATCAAACGGCTCAGCGAGCGTATATTTTTGAAAGCATTTTCTTTCAGCCAAAGCAAATGGATTTTAAAAATAAACTTTTGTAGAAACGCCAATCAGTGTTTATAGGTATGTGTGAATTTGTTATAATTATCGTGTGGGCGGTTGGAAAATTTCGTTTTTTATAGCCTTATCTTGCTGTTTGTTTATGCGAATGCGCTTGAAATTTTAGAATGTAGATTTTTTGATTCTACTTTTCCTGTCACGAACATATTTCTGGAAGACTATGGTTTTTAGGTTTTTTTTTGTGCAATTGTTGGCTTGACCGCCAGCGCTTTTATATTTCTGGGTTCAGCTGAGCTAATTAGGTGTTAAGGTTCAGAAAATTTGATAGCTGCCTAATTATTATTATTTTTCTCAGAGATATATTGAGCTATATGTACATATTATATACATATGAATAATATATGTACATATAAATATAGGTATACATTTATTTGAAATTATGCAAATATTTTTGACCAACATTAATTTGCAATAAAAATTAATAATTAGTAATTAGTTCTTTAATTTGGTTAATCGCAATTTGAAGTTGCTTTGATAATTCAGATATAACTGCAGTATAATGTAAAAATATCTTAAATTGACTTAAGCTGTGGTTATTATTTTGATAATTATATTAACCAATTTAAATATTGGTATGCCATTCAACTATATTTTTTAGTACTTTGATGCTTACTAAACACAAGGTAATAAATTAAAATTTTTCAAATAACTCAAGACTACTTAAGCTATTTTTCAAGTTTTATGCATATAAATATTTCTTAAGTATAAACATCCTGTGTCTTTTGTATATCCCCCTTCAACAACCGAACCGTAGAGGAAATCAAGTTATTTAAACTTTCCTTACTTTTCATCATTGCCAAGTTTAAGTTTAATAAACTTCAGTACTTGCTCAAAGCTTTTGCTGTAAAGCAACAGTTCATATGATTTTTATTACATTCCAAAAAATATATTTTTCTGCTTTTCCTGTTATGTACCACTAACAGTGATCTCATTAAGTCTGTCTATTTTTAAGATCTGAATTTTATATTTGTAGTATATACATATGTACATACAAGATTTTAAAATAAAATTTTGAAATACTTTGTGTACGTAAAAAAGATACGAAGAAATTGCATACTTTCAATCGTGAAACGACGAAAGGTGACGTGACGAACCAACGGCCGACAGACTCAAGGATAAATGCCGAAACAATGGCGATAGCTTTGACGAGGTGATCAGGTACGAACTTAATACTATGTCGGAAGAGCATAACAGCTCTCTCAGCTACAAAGAGCTATGCGCATAAGTTTTGGTGTAGAAAAAATAAATATTTTCATGTAGGTGGTAATATGTATCAATGCATGTCGCTGTGTGAGTGTTGCTTGAACTTAAAAATAAATGTTTTTGACAATCCGAAGAAAGATGGTATATAATATATGTGTATATTACGAAGAAATGCCAAAAAATAACGGTATGCAGGTGTTTTGCTATATCATTAGCCCACGCTAAAATGCCTAAATGCCTAAACGCCTAAATGTATTTGTATGTATGAGCGAATTCTCATACACACTACTGAGTGTGTTTGCGTGCATATCTACATATATGTATATATGCATGTGTGTATGGGAGTTTGTCTGCTTTTTTCGCTTTTAATGGTAGTCTTATATGTATGATGTACTGATTGCGTGTGCATGTGTGTGTGCGTGTGTGCAGGAACTTTTCAAAATACCGATTTTAAAAGTTTTCTAGCAAATTTTCAAATTACTCACACATACATATATGCACATATGTATGCATGTATTTTTGTGTGCATGAAATAAAATTTTATAAAATTACTACACCATAGCGAATATTTATGTTTGTATGTGTATAAGTGTGGCACATAGGCCAAGCGATTCGGTTACAAAATTCCTTATAAGCGAACTTTCAACAGCATCCAAATAAAATGCGTATATTTTTGTTATGAAAAACTAAATTTTCGCGCAACCGCAGCGCATTGCATAATGAATTTTTGAAATATCTTTAGAGTACTGCATAACTTTCGGGTATTTCTGCAGGCATGTATGGAAGTAAAAATACTAATTTCGCCTGAAAGGAATTGAAATTAATTATAGATTGTCACGTCTAGCGCTCAGCTGCTGTATTTATGCATATAAATATGTTTGCACTTCATAATTTTCATTTCCACACCAGCACATACACACACACACGCATAGAACTTTTCAATTTTAATTTTGTTTTTCAGCGTTAAGCCAAAAATATTTTCAGTCACTAATATTATTTGCACCACTTGGTGCTACAGGTATCGCTGATATTTCGTCAGTTTTAAATATGTTCAGTTTTCTTTAACTATTTAAAACATTTTAAATAAATATTTTTAGCATATTTTGTTTTTTAATATTTTTTTTAATTGCTGCGTTTTTGAAGATATTTTTTTTTTAAATAAATCCTTAAAAACGCTCGCAGCACCACTAACCAACCTTAGCGTTCCAAACACACTATACGCTGTCAAAACCCCGAGAACACTGATGCAAGACGAACTTTCCCAAAGCAGAAAGCCCCCAAACGTTCACCGACCGGGCGACTATACGGCTGAACTGTACGAGAAGACACGTATACTATCGCAATTGAAATGAAGAATCTACATTTAAAGGAGACTACATGCACGTATACATACACATACATATGTATATGTATTGCAGTATTCAATGTATTTGTGTATTCCTACTCAGTTTTCAATACAACTCATTCCAAAAATTCCCCATTTTTCTAAAAACTTTTTAAATTCAAATTTCGAAATGAAGAAGTATTTATGGCGCTCTCTAGTAGCTAACTGCGTACTCAATGCGCTCTCGCCTTGGTAGAATGCAAAAAAAAAAAAAAATTCCCTTACATTTTGAAAATTACCCCACTCATGCAACTAAAAAATTTCCCTGCCAGATCGGAAATACTTGTATGACTGCGCACGCATAGACACCTGTATGTAGATTTTCGTTGCAATATATACATATACACATTTGATTATACCTATTAACATACACATATGTACTTATGTATATATTTACATAAATATTTTTCGACATGTACATATGATACTTAGTATATGATCGGGTCCATAACGTAGCCTCACACGATGCTCCCCTTTGCCATTAACTCTTTAGGATCTCAAGTGTGTATGTTTGTATGTATGTATATGTGCGATCTCTTCTATTAGACACAAAATCATACAGTAAGTGTAATACATATCCATACATATACATATATGCGTATATATGTAGATGTTTAGATATTAATGTATGCTTGGAAAAATGAAAATTGCCACACTGAATTTTCCTTACAAGCAGAATCGCTCCGTCCGTTGATACTATATGCTAGCAGCTTCTGTAAGAAGTAGATGCAGAAGAAAAAAATATATAAAATATTTAGGAATGTAAGAACATTTGTTTTATGTACATATGTATATGTATGTGAATATATTAAAATTAACGCATAAAAACTATGACATGTACTTTGACGGCATTTCGTGTCAAAATGGTTGGAAAAACTATTCAAAATTCGATTGTTTTCCTTGAAAGTGGGTCAAGTGCCGTTACAGCAAAATACTCATAAAAAGTATTAATTAATATAGTTGCAGCAAAATACAAAAAGAAATCCATATCTCTGTGCCGTTTCCAAAGCAGCCGTGTATATTTGACTAGAACCAAGGATTCCTCAGTTTAATTGAAGAAACATTTATGCTATTTACCACCAAAAAATATCATTAATTCTATATGATTTTGAAGAGTTCATCTACTTGAAAAAAAACATTATGTATACATATATACACTTAATCTGTGGGTATACGTTTAGCCAACTTCTAAATGTTGACAGATCGTATAAGACCACATGTCAAAAAAATGTCAGAGATTTTACTTTGCCTGCTGAGTTATAACCGCTCTTTTTCATATAATTGGCGTTTGAAGAAAACGTTATTGAATGTAGAGTTCCATAAACCTTTTACGAATTCACGATTACGAATGGTAAATGAAAGAACACCGCTGAAATAAAATCTGACGACTAAAAGTATTTTGACAAGTTCTTGTCGATATATTATATTTTAACAGTATACGAGATTAAACCCTGAGGAAATAAATGCGCATCATATGAGCAGAAAGACTATAAGGAAGAGCTTTGAATATTGTTGCTGTAGAAGCATGGACCTCAAAGTAGCTTAGATTGGCGCTAAAGTGACTAGATATTAATTCGGCTCCATTCCGAGAGTGAGACTTGAAAACTGACTAAGGTACAATTCTAACGCCAAAAGAAGAAGAATTTGTTCAACAATTTTACTACTTAAGAAAACAAACCAGCATATATGTAGGTTTTCTTGATGTAATAGATGATATACAATAATTATCAGTGCCATATGTAGACTGCCTGAAGGATGGTAAATTGTAGTAATGTAGCTCAACTAATGAAGAAATAGAGCCAATTATTGAAATTTTTGAGTCAAAGGCGGTTCAGAAAATATTAAATTTAATTTAAAAAAATAGAAATTTCGGAGTTATAACTTAAAACTCAAAACAAGGTGGTTACAATGTTCCCGAGCAAACACTTTCATGCTAGAAGTGAAGAAATTAAGGTCTTATCCCTCCACTCCAGCTATTTGCAAAATCATTATTATTAATATTAAATTATGAATATTATGGGAATAGACCACAGCTTGAGATTGCAAGTATGATTTCTCGTTCTTTGTTTTTGGAGTAAATCATATCCAAACCCGTCAGGAAAACTGCACTTTTATTAATATAAGCTTCGATTTTAATAAACGCTGCATCGGAATTGCATTTTAAATACAATATTTTTCGGACTTTTTGTTCCGAAATGAGCTAACTGACATTTTTAGTGATGCTTACATTTAGCATATTTGAAAACTTATTTTGAAAAAATCTAAATACATAAATATGTCAGTAAAATTTTTTTTTTTTATATTTTTCAACATATTGCTTTCTTTCGTATTTTTATATTAATTCTACTCGCTATTTCGCATTTTCCTCACTCTCAAATAATATTATTGTGTATTTCCTTTGGTTGCCTCCTATGTTTTGCCATTTCGTTTATAAAAATAGCTGAATTACTCGAAACATTCACAAATATTTCGTATTTGTTGGCCGGCGTGCAAAGCTTTCGCTATTGTGCTGCTATTTGAAATGTATCTATACTTATATACTTGGAGGTGTACCTATATATATCTTTATATTTACGCATTTATTTTGTTTAATTTTGAAACAAAAAGTGGTCGCTGTTGGCAGAATTAAATATTTTATATAGTATTTTGCTGTTCATATGCATAAGAGCCTGTGAAAACGATCATATCCATACATTGCTATATACTCAGCCATTAGTAGAAAAAATATTTTTAATTTTCAAATCGTGCTATTTAAAAATACAATATAATTGTACCAGAAGCGCAGCAGACTAACTATTTTGTTTTCGGAGGTCAAAAGTAGATTATTTTAAGAAATAAAACGCCAATTTTCCATAAATTTTGATATTTTTTTTGTAAGCTAAGTACTTACCAGATCGCTCTCGAAAGATGATCACCGTTGAAAAGAAATGTTATTATTTTTAAATCGGTGTTCCAAGTAGTAGGCAGGTAACTAATTAAAGATGAGCTTTATGACTAAAAATAGGCAATTAGTAATTTTAAAGGCCTTAGTAGTGCTAATTTCGATATTAAATTTATAATTGGTGTATAAAAAGCAAAGAGCTACTAAAGGTACAATTCAGCTTGATGAACTAGATAATTGAAAGGGATCTGAGGTGTCTAAAACAGATTGGATTGTTCTAAATGAACGGTTTTGAACGATTTTGTTTTCTTAAATTTGCACTTACCACTGTATACTCTCGTCTAATAAATCGCGAACTGGTAAGTGCTTTCAATACACCAAATCAAAGTCAATAGTTGTGGATTACACAGCAGAACGTGCAGAAATATGAATACATATGTACGTATAACTCCCACACTCTTTGGTAATTACAAATGGGCGCACGCCCACTTGTATATTTCAACGTATCTGACTTTTGGCGAATAACACTGACCAGAACGTTATTCCACAAAAGCAAAATTTACATTTTGTAAACAAATTGGGATAAACATTTGGTTTTCCAAAATACAGAAATGGAAAATATATATATATCTTTCGAATATGCAGGGTCGAAGTAAGGGTAATGAAAATACTGTACTATAGTATTTTTCCTAAATTGTCTATGTCACTGTCTTTACCGTAATACAGATGATCTTCTTTTTACACTTTCATAAAATTTACTGTGAATAATTCATTAATTTCTTCAGATTAAAACATATACATATGTACAAATATATGTATGTATAAGATGAAAAGGGGAGTGACAAAATTACTCTTGAAAAGTCTAAAAGCATGATTGAATTCAATTCTGAGAATGGCCCAAAAATTATAATATGAAATCAACTCAACATTCAATAAACACCCAAATCAGAGTGAGGTTGAGAAAAATATGTAATAAGATCGCTGAACAAGAGCTCTTTTATAATCAAGACAAAAAGTTCGTACCTTTTTTAAAAAACACAATATTTCTTAGCAAAATTCTAAATGGATACACCGATTATAGTTATCTTCATAATGTTTACCATTTTTGTAGTACAATTGGTCTTTTCTTCAACAGAGCCCTGGCTTGGATAATACTCAATGAAAAACCTTACGGCATCAGCAGCATTATTTTTCAAAAATTAGTGATTCGTTAACGCGGCAAATTCAGTTTTATCTTTTTTTTTTTTTAAAATGCAATATGTCACGAACGAATTGATCCAAAGCACTAACTACAAACCATAGGGATTCTTATGTAGAGAATTTTTCAAAATGCGAAAGCGATGTGCTTTTCATTAGGTCAAAGTTGTGGTAGGTGTTGTTTTGAAGGTAAAAAGAAAGAAAAGCATCATTGGTTTACAGAAAGCATCATTTTGGACTAGATTGAAGCAGCTTAACAATGTATGCTGTTATTGTTGTAACTACAACGGCACAAAACATTCACCAAAAATTTGGAGATTGGTACCAAGTTGGCATTCCATGACCAAATAAAATTCAGAGTTTCAGTTACACAGACCCGACTGGGGCTACTTACATATATATCTGCTTTACATTAGTCTTGATCAATAAAGAAAAATACGTCGAATTCATCAAATGCCTTGTGAAAACTATTCGATGATTTTATTTAGTTTTTGTTAATCAAACATTTTTTTTTATAAATACATGTATATTTTCAAATATATAATGCCTTACTAAAACATCATTTCCACACTTTGAATTTTTATTTTTCATTAATGCATAATTATTTTTATATTTTTCGCTTTATTTATGCAATTTAGAACAGCGCAACACTTACATACATACTCATGTACATATGTACATATGTACATATACAAGTATATACTTGTATGTGCTGTTTATTTGATTTATATATTTTGTTTGATTTTATAATAGAAAACCTACGCTTGAATTAAAATTCCCAGGCAATTGCCTTCTAGTAGAGCAAGATTACACAATTTTGTTGTTTGTATGTATGTAATTTAATATATATTAAAGCTTAAAAGTACAATAGAAAAATATATGTGTGTGTAATTACTGAGCTTTATTGAATGTTATTTCTATTGAAGAGTTTAGGAAATGAAATTCTTTCTCCGAAGGTTGCGAAAACTAATTGGGGAAATTTGATAATTTAATTTTTTGTTTATATGAAGGCTACATTTTATACATTGCTTAAAATAATTTTGCATAAATTGCTTTATTATAAAAAATCTTTTGATACCAATGCATGGTTTCACTACTTAATTAGCAAGAAGGCAGTTTATACGTTCAATTAATTTGTATTCAATATTGTTCTTTTTTTTTGGATTTCTTCTGTAATATGGAATGTGCTTATAGTTTGAATGTAATTTTTGTTGCTGTTTTTTCTTGTTTTTTGTCTCGCTTGAGGATAGTTTTTTGATCGTGTTTAATTACAGCGTTACATTTTCCACTTCACTGGTACTGTAGTATAATATTATATGTGGATGCTAGATGTAGATTTCGCTTATGCTTCATTTTTATTTTTTGTATTTTATGCTGAAAAAACTGCTATTGTCAACGCAAATGTTTAATAGTTGTTCAGTTCGGCATATTCCAACTCTTGTGCAATGGTTTTGTACTTTTCCAGGCCTTTACTGACTTCGGCTGCAATTTTTTTTGGCAGGGGCAAGACATGTAAGAGATAAAAAATATTTGTCAGTTATGAACGTAAAATTGTGAAATAATAACAAATTTTTGACACCATTATTGTTTACCATATAAAATATTGGAGTTAAATCATAATTTATATACATATGTATATTATTATTTTTCGTTTACTCTTCAGTTTATTTTATAAATATTAAAATAAAATACGTTTTCTTTTCAACATTTATATGCTCGTGAAATCAATATTTATTGCTTATATACTTTTAATTTTTTTTACAAGAGCGTGCATAGGTGTTACATAAATGTTTAAAACGAGTTTCTAGTGGTATAGTGAAATGAAAAATATGCAAATAATAAAACTAAATAAATACAAATACACAATTTAATATTTTTGCTTTCTTGGTTAACATCATCAGTAAACTTTACAACTAGCCAAAGGCAACAACTACAGTCTAAAAATGTCTAAAATACGAAATACAAATCAACCATATGTGGTAAGCGACGCAGCAAATATTGATACACACGTCGTCGTCGCAGCATTAATAAAACTAAATACATATTCTAAAAACACATAAAGAAAATTGAATTGTTTTCCGTGTAGGACAACTGCTGCTTGTAGTTGTTGTTTGGAGTTTCGTCGTGGCAATAATTGTTGTAAGGCATTTATTGTTCCTTGAGGATGAGCTCGACGAAGGCGGTATCGAGATCGTCTCCAATATCCTTGTAACGTTCCTTCTCCAAGACAAGGTCGTCTAATGAAGTTGATTGGGTTAAAAGAAAGGTGTAAAATAATTAAAATAAAATTTATATGAAATGAAATTTATACAAAGAACATAAATAAGTTAATAATACATAAAATTAAGGATGTAAATACATGATACATAACAATAAATTTTTAAACAATAAAGTAACCTAAGTAAGACAGTATACATACATACAAAAATAAAATATAAATTAAAATTAATATACATACATACATATATTAATTACATTTAAAAGATTATTTAAACAAAAATTTTTTTTGTTTTTTCCGACTGTATAAAAAAGGCTTTAAAAAAGCTGATATAAGTTATTTATTTTTTAAAGAACATTTGGAATGCGCACTTGTGAAACAAACAAATTGTTTGGATTAGTCGGAAAATTAGGCATACTTATAATACAAAAATATTTTTAATTCAGTAATTAATTAAACTCGGATAGCTAATTTTAAATTTAATTTTGCAGAACTTCAAAATATATATTGAGTTTCATAATAATTAGTGAAAATGAAATTCGAATTTGATTAAAAATAATTTATATTTGTCCTCCTGAATATTGAGAACATTTTTAATAGCGAACGCGAGTTGGTTGCAAAGAATATGTCAAACAATCATATTTTGGCATTAAGAAATAGTCAAGCAACACCATACAAATTGTTGTAAAATTATGTAAATATACGCAATGTCACTTATCAGTTATTATTAAATATTTTAAAATTCTCTTAAAACAGTTTATTTTAAATAAATGTCTTCTACGCAAATAAACACTCTTTGACAATACAAACCAACTCATTTAATAAAATTGTAAACAAATAACTCTTTTTTATCAAGTTAAAAAAAAAAACGTAAACATATAAATAATAAAATAAAAAAATTTCCAGTAAAAGAAAAAAAAACACAAATACATAAATAATAAACAAATAAAAGTAAACAATTAACTTAAAATGAAAGTAAAGTTTACCTTTCTTGCTTCATTAGACGGCGCAATATTCAAAAGCAGCTTCATTTGCATATTGGCTTAGCAGCATCTTGAGTTGTTAGTGCGGCAGCCGCGTCACTTTGCGGTGTTTGCTGTTATATTATTTAAATAGCGTTTTCTCGAAACAAAAATACAATTGAATCAAGCTTGGCAAGTCGTTGTTAGCATTAAATATGAAGAAAAGCAATAACAAAAACACTCCGTTCATAGCAATGCAGTACCCAACATTAGCTCAATAGAGTTTAATATATTTTGTTTTTTGATTTTTTATTATTAATAAGTAAGGAAAAAACATAACAAATGCATAGTTTTAATTTAAATAGGTAGGTATTCAAAGAATTGTATGTGTGTAAATAATTATGGATCCTCTAAACTAAACGCGTTCATGCAAACAACTAAAACTGGCAGCTTTTTGTAGCGGCTGTGTTTAACGCCTATGACATTGTCACGTACAAAGAAGAGGTTCGCGCCCTGCACTCCAGGTGCTTATGGGTTAATTAGGGTTTTAGTTTTATTTATGATTAAAAATTAAGCGGTGGGCGCAGGTTCTGGTGCGGCCTCAGCTGCTGGCGCAGCCTCTGCGGGTGGCGCAGCATCCGCTGGAGCAGCTTCTGCAGCGGGTGCCGCCTCTGCAGCGGGTGCTGCCTCTGCAGCGGGTGCTCCCTCTGCAGCGGGTGCAGTTTCCGTGGGTGGTGCCGCAACCGCTTCGGCGGTCGGTGCAGGAGCGGCAGCATCTGCTGGTGGTGCGGCAACCGCTTCCGCTGGTGCACCTTCAACTGGTGGTGGTGCAGCTGCTGCTGGCGGAGCACCTTCTGCAGGTACAGCTGGTGCACTCTCCGCAGAAGGTGCACCACCTTCTGGTGCTGCTGGAGCACCTTCCGCTGGTGGAGCACCCTCAGCTGGAGGAGCAGCTTCGCCCTCGGTTGGTTCTGTGCCTGGTGGTGGTGGTTCGTAATTTTTAACGAATGGCACTTCAGCACCTTCTGGTGGCAAATCGATGGAGTACTCAAACGGTGGTGGTGGTGGCGGTGGTGGTGTTGGTTCTTTAACTGGTTCAGCTTCTGCTGG